ATAGACGACGATGAAGCCCCTGAAGTACATACATGCGTAATAGAAAGATTTTACTAGCTTTTACTGTGTCAGTTGGGTAAGAAATATGCTGTAAGCAAAGAGTCTAACAAAAGTTATATAAATATAGCCTGCCAGCGCAGGTGAGGTCCTAGTCTCGCTCCCCCTCTCATTAGACATGATTCACAAAAAGCAATTGTAGGGGGTTTACAGCTACATAAGGTTCTTCTCTACTAGAACTTTTGAGTAGCTTAGTTCTCGATGAATTTACTATAATATTTTTGGAGGTCTTGGGGTCCTGAAGGATTAAGGAAACAATCTGTCAAAAATTTAGGTGCTCCAGGAGCATCAAAAGGAAAAAGTTTAAACAAATTTCGCTGTTAGGTTATTTATTTCCAAGTAGTAACTAATAAGACTAGAAAAGATATGTATCTTCAATGCTGGACATCTGCTTAATACTTATTATGTCCGTCGGATGAAAGCTGTAGTTTTAAAATCTAAGAAATTTCAGAAGTTTAAGCCACTTCATTCTGTCAGATCAACAAAGAAAACTTTTTTCTGTTCCTACACAGGTTTTTACTCCAATCTCCGATTAAAAGCTCCAGAGCTAAGCAGTGTCTATATTAATCGCGTATTCAGACATGTTTAGCACACTGTTGGAAACACTGCACAGTTTGTTGAGACATCTCGTTCCCTTCCTGTTTGAAATAACTCAAGTCCTATCGGCTGTGAAGCAAAACCGTGAAACTCTATGGACCCTATAAACACAGTTTACTATAGTATCCAGAAAAAAGTCATACCTAATAATTCGAGTCCCAAGGCGGATCTATATTTTCGACCGTAACTGTTGGAAATCGGGCGCCTATTACAATTTCGTAAGACAAAAGCTTATCGCCAGATTTCCCACGAATGGTATTCAGAGCCAGTCGATAGTCTCTTGGTATTCAGTGAGGTCCAAGCATTATTTTATGGAGTTTTGCACCTCGTCGCTGTACGGCAGTGTTTTCCGTTAGAGTGATTCCTGCGGTATAATAGCAGAAGAGCCTGTTATTAAACTCCGCGATCGGAAGCATCTGTGCTTCACTATGGAGGTGATGCTCTGGCGTCATTAGGGGGGCATGTCTTGTCAGCGGTAAGTGTGGTTCTCTGATGCTTGACCTACTGCAGACTCGTTATACAAATTTTCGTCACATGGTTTAAACCCAGCCGCTCAAATTCGTTATATGTTGCCAAAAATGCATATGTTCCTTTACCTTGAGTGCCATTAATAGACTTTCAAAGCCTTGGTTTGACCTCAGTATTGGTAATAGCTGTTGTGTTTCGGTATTAGGATTCCATCGGTATTAGTACGCCTTCGACGCGAGCTCCAAAATCGAATTACTGCAGCGCATTCCGTAGGAGAGAGGATGGGAGCATCGATTAAATGACCCAGATTAGAGAAATATTGAAATATAAGTCAGATCAGAAAAATTTGCTCTGGTGGTTGAAGGAGCTTAGAGACAAAATATTTAAGATAAAATGGGGTAATCCCCGTTTAATTTTTCTAAGTTTCGACGTATGATCTTAAAAAGTCCTGACAACTTTCTATTATTCAAATAATACGAAGTTCATCGCTACGAGTCCTTGACAAAAAGACATTATTCGAAAGGCGAGTAGTGTCGCAGGCACTTACATAAGTAACGTAAGTAAATTAGATACTTAGATTTTTCTGAAGTGTTTTTTTCTGTCTGGCTAACTCTCTCCTCGATTTCCACTTAATCTAACACTTAGAAGAACTCGCGTTCGCCAACATGAACACATGTTTGTCTAAGGAGAATGACCAAGGTGACATCCGTAAGTCCCTTGAAGCCGTTCCAAGTATCTTTACTGAAGTTGAGGTAGCTACATACATATGTATGGTCGACAATTGGGGAACGGGTAAGATTGCCTTCTTTGATTTTGCTAAGCTTTCTTATGATTCTGTTTATGCCTTGCTGGTTAATTTACGCCGATTGAAGTGGGATGAACTTAAGGGTGAGGGGGGCTGATGAAATACGAGAGAAGCTGTGTTGCTCTGGCAACACTTCTAGGAGCAGTGGATGATTTTGGTTGGGTACACACTTTGCGTGGGGAGTTGTGGGATACAGACGCTGTGGGCGCTAATTGACAAATTTTGATGCAAGGATGAACCCCATAACCGATTCATACAGGGCTGGATGACCGAAACGACTGTCTTTGATAAAGAAAACCCCGAGTCCTTACCGAACGTAGACCCCCTCTGTCATATTAAAGAGTAGAATTTCATCTCCATCAAAACGAATTGTTGAATTCGACCCGATCTACGAAATTTACATGATTTGACACGCTCCGTTTTCGAATGCCGTCCAGCACAGGGTCAGCCTGGTTAGGAGTTAGAGCAACCCTATTAAACCACATACATATGTGCATCCATACATATTAAGGCAACGGTAGTTCTGGCTAGAATAATGACGAACACCGGTGAACCAAGGCAGCAGGCAAGACACCGTCTGGCTGGTGTTGGAGTCTAAGTATCCTCCTCTATGGTGCTACAGTCTGGTGTGGCGCATTCAAACACACCTCATTAGCACGAAGTACTAACTCCACGTACCGCTTGTGAGCTCTTAGGGCCTGCTCTGCGTTCAAAACGGTCTTAGAAGTCGCGGCGCTCATCATAGCTCAGGAGATGTATGAAGCGAGTACTATGAAGCGCAACATAGCACACAAGACAATCACTAGAGCCGACTGCGTATAGATGGGCCACAAAGGGCATTCGCATGGAGTTTGTCTCAAACAACACCAACTCTCGACCTGTGAATGCCGTTGTAGGGACAACAACCACCGAAAGTTGATCAGACAGAACTTCATCTGCGTCGTGAGACCCGCACAACACTAGCCTAATTTCGCTCTTACCTGAGCAGGATAGATTCAGATGTGTCCAACAGGCGCAACCAGCGGGGTACGATGTGATATTGCAACTCCGCAAACAGCGGTCGAGCAAGGCGTAGACGCGAACGCCAAGAAAGTGTGTAAACCAGCAGACTGATATAGAGGCGAAAGCTCACGATACCAGACTTAGGAACCAACTTTCTATAGTATGGATAGGGACATGGACGTCGAGCCTAGAGCTGTCGACGAAATAATTGGAAGGTAATATTGGCGGGAATCGGTACTGTGACGGTAGCGTTAAAGTCCGAAAGTGACGTAGTTAGGCTTTCGATGCTTCATCCTCCTAAAAACACACTTATACATTAGGATGTCTCACCAAAAAAGTTGCGATTTTGCCACCGTAATTATAAAATATATCATGTATATTTTAAGACTTCCGTCAAAATATTTCGTAAATTTTTAAGTAGACCTTCTGAGCTTAAAATCTTCTATCATACGAGGGGATTTTTTGGAAAAAATAATTTTATAAAAAAAAATGTGTTTTGAAGGTATTTTCAAATTGGGCCAACTCACGTAGATCTTAAAATTTATTGAAATATTTTAGCGGAAGTCTCAAAATATAACGAATTCTATGTGAACAAATATTCCCAATAATTATAAAGCAAAACAAAAACAACTGTTGCCAATTTGTTTTGGTTTTGCCTGTTAAACTATGGGAACGATTTATTCACATGGCGTTGGCGATAAAGCTGAAACATTTTCCGCTCGATTCTGAATAGAAACTTCTCTCTTTTCCATTTCCTCCTACCATGAATAAAAATTCCCTGAGGATTTTTTATTTTAAATGGCGGAGTGGAGCGGTCAAAAAGTGTCAAACAGCTCTTTCGATGTTCGAATTTCCTTCTCCAAAATTTTTGGGGAAAATGCTACTCCCTGAGAGTTAGTTATTGGAGGATTTCTTTCTTGATAAAAAAAAACAGTAGGGGTTTTCTTTTGTTGTGCGGAGTGATATACCCTAATATACAAACAAATTTTCGTATGTAATATATGTATAATTTTCTCATTGAAGCTGAATGATAGAAATCAATATCAATTAACTGTTCTCAATAGCACAATACTTAAGCGTATATACAAGCATACATAACACATATGTATTTATGTATATATACAGGTATGAATATGAACAACAAGTTTATTGACCAGCTTCTACAAACAAGCTTTCTTAAAAAAAACAATACAATTCTTTTAATGCGCAAAAAAGTTCAACATACATACATTAATAACTTAATAGGAAAAATTAACATAGCACACTTTTATGTACGAACCACATACTAATGTTATTCGCTTATACAGTATACGTAGGTAATTAAAACTTTGCGGTGGGCCCTTGAAACAATTGCGAATAAAAATAATAATATTTACATTTTTTATTTATGTGAATTTCTTTATTCATTTCAATTTTCATACATACATACATTTAAACCTTCATACATATCAGCTAACATTTATAAGGAATTGTAGTCACAAAGATTTACCATAGATTTTGTTTATATGCATTTTTATATTAAGTTGAATTCTGATGCCAATACAAATGTGCTATGAATTTAATTACATACTGGAAACATTGCAAGATTTTAAAACACCACAATTTTGTTTTTTTTTTTCTGTAAAACTATTGTGCTGCATGCCATGTAAATTTTATCGATGCCTAAAGAGCTTAATTTGGCTAAACTTTCCGATAACTATCTTCCAAAATATGTATATAAATATGTTTCGCAATATTTTGCATACTTATTTTATAAAGGGATGTAAGATTTTAAACAAATTTTATTTGATAACAAATCGTAAAAAAAATTAAGAATACTTGCAATTAAAGTAAAAATGTGTCCTAACAGTTATTACAATTTCGAAAAAAAAATGAAATTTGAAATTAGTATGCAGATATAACTGCTATATTTTATTTTTTTGCAACCAAATTGTTTATTCTAAGTACTTTAAAAACCCTAAATATCTGTAGAACTAAATAAATATTCAATTAATGGTACTAAATAAGTATGTAAAACATATTCTAGTTGATGTTTTAGTATTATGCACTAGTACCGTATTTTTTTTTTACTTTTTTAAAGAATTAATTTTGGATTAAGTAGCTATGCGTATCATTACTTGCTAAATAAACTTATTTTCAATTAACAACTACAAATGTTACATACAACAACAAGAACATCAGCAGCTTCACATTAACTTTAGGACAGAATAATGTTTTTAGGTACTTATGGGTCGATTATGGATAGCAACGCAATAGAACTGTGAAGTACCAGAAACCAAAACTTGAGCGTATATATCAGGCCTTGAGAGCAGAAGTGGCCTAACCTACAATTTTTTTTTCTTGTACTTAACTTCTTAAAATAGTTTCAAATGTGATAAATTTTAAAGTATTCCTTAATTTGATGGTACGTTATGAAGCTCTGTTGCTTAAAATTAATCTGATTTGAGACTATTTTAAATAGGGAAGCAATCAAAAAAAAAATTTTGGTGAGGCCACTTCTGCTCTCATGGCTTCATATGTAAACTGAAGACACTTGAAAAAAAATAAAATAAAATAACGCAACCAAAATTTCCGCGGCAACCACACAACTGAAGTTGCCAATATAGCTAGTTTCCATCTGTGTACATTTCTGCCACTGTCAACGCAACTGCAGTTCGATTTTCATCCGTATTGCAGCCATTAATTCAATATAATGCGCTCCTCAGAAAACTATTCTTGCTCTCATAGTCTCCGCTACATAAATATCGCCTACATTACTGCCGACCTCGCTGTGCTGTTGCTGTGCCCGCTGCTGTATTGTATGAATTATACACTGCCGCCGTCCCACCTCCAAACGACCCATTGCGCTGTAAATATGTCGCCGATCCACCATTGCGCCCCTGTGTCCGATAATTCGCCGTTAACGCTTTATCGGTACGAGCACTTATTACAGCTGGCTGTTAGAAAAGTCGTTTCTCATAGGAGAAAAGGCCATGCACATTACCTTCCACCTGAGCGGAATGTGTGCGCTTCATAAAACGCAGCTTGCCATTGTAAATCATAGATCTACGTATGTAACAAAAAATATCACAAATTAATGTCAATAAATTCGCATTGATTGCGATCAAAGTACAAATAATATACCTCAATTCACTAACAGTATGCGCGCCTATATCTTGACAGCTATGCTGCAGTCCACACTCCAAGTAGGGCAAATAACGCAGCACTGAACCCTTGTCTACAATACTGCCGCTCACACCCTGTGCCACCTTTGTGCGATCCATTTCAGTGTGATAGTAACGGGACATAGCAGCCCCTTTGGCATCACGGCGTTCCATAGCCTCCAAGGAACCCATACCGCGGTACTTTTTCAAACGTACACCATCATGAAAGAAGTACTCGCCGGGTGCTTCGGAAGTGCCAGCCAAGAGAGAACCCATCATGACAGCACATGCGCCTAATGATAAAGCTTTAACGATATGTCCTATGGATTGAATACCGCCATCAGCAATCACTGGTACACCAAACTGTTTGGCGTAGGTAGAAACTTGGTAGACAGCAGTAGCTTGTGGACAGCCGCAAGCCATCACTTCTTGAGTGATGCAAATCGAGCCAGAACCCATGCCAACGCGCAAACCATCAACACCGGCGTCAATTAGATTTTTCGCTTGAGCGCGGGTTACCACTGAATGATTGGAAAAGTAATATTGTTAATAAAATCTAAAATAAATAATTACATTGATTCAAGGACTTACCATTGCCACCAATCACTTGCAGTTCTGTATAAGTATTTTTGATAAACTTGATCATATCAATCTGATAAATGGAATTGCCTTGCGAGGAGTCCAATACAATCACATCAACGCCATTTTCGACTAGCAATTTGAGACGGTCTTTATCTTCCGGACGTGTGCCAATAGCAGCGCCCACTAACAGTTGTTTGTTGCTATCTTTCGATGCATTCGGATATGAACGCGCCTTCTTTAAATCAGTGCGTGCAATTAATGCAACCAGCTCCCCATTCTCATTTACAATTGGCAGTTTGCCCTTCTTACTTTTTTCTAAAATAGCATTAGCCATAGGTAGTGTGATACTATTCGGTGCTGTGATCAACTCGGTGGTCATGATAGTGCCCAATTTAATATCTGGCTGATTTTCACGGAAATCAATGTCACGCGAGGTAACAATGCCCAACAGGCGGCCGCCCAATTTGCCATTGGCTGTAATGGGATAGCCTGTAAAGCCATTTTTGCGACGCGCTTCCAACACATCACCCACTGTATTCTCGGGCGACATCACTGAAGGGTCACGGATGAATCCATGCTTATATTTTTTTTACTTTGTGCACTTCATTTGCTTGATATTCTGGTGTGCAATTGTGATGGATAATGCCAATGCCTCCGCAGAGCTATAAATAGATAAAAATATGGGTGTAAATAAATATAAAAAAAAAACGGGAAATCCATAAAGTCTTCGATATATTTACGTACATAATACAAACAGTTGTCCACAAAATAATAGGAGTGCGATATTTTGAACGGTTTTGACTATACAAAAAGTATAAAAAAGTATGCAAAGTTTGACCAAAATTTCAAAAATTTTTAAATTTTTTGTTAAGCAGTTTTGTAGCCCATCAAATTGTGAAAGTGCACGTTTTAAGTTGCTGAAAACCCCGTTTATTTTTGAGAATTTTTCTGGTTGAAGGTATTTCGCATTTTTCCCACCCAAATTATGTGTTATGTAAATGTAGCCGCTACAACAACAACAACAGGGAAAACTTGCCAAAATATCGCACTCCGAAATCGTAATAACAATATACACGTAAAGTTCCTAACTAATTGGGTTGAATACCTACATACCTATGGAAATGTGTAGGTACATATTTGCAATTTCCAAAAAAATTATCCAATACATAAAATACACATTTGCATACACAGAGTCGTATTAACTTATCTACTATTTATCTACATACTTATATGTATGTATACATTTATCTTTTTTCAATATTAATTTAAAATAAACACTTACCGCCATTGCAATAGCCATATCTGACTCGGTTACAGTGTCCATAGGCGATGAGACCAATGGTGCACGCAATGTTATACCTTTTGTTAAAGGTGAACTTAGATCAACCTCCTCAGCGGCGAAATCAATATAGCCAGGCAAGATAAGAAAGTCACTAAATATAAAAGTAAAAACATTTAATTGGCAATTGTAAAAGCACGCAAATAATAAATTATATGCCACAAATACACATACTTGTAAGTCAGCCCATCACTGCTGGCGAAAAGCTCGTGACATGAAAGGCCATCTTGCAGTTCATCTCCATTAACACCCGCAGCTGCGTTCTTTAACGGCTCTGCCGGCACACTTTCAAAGCCGTTGGTGCTGACATCGGTGGTGGTTGTCGTTGCCATTATTATAATTGATTATAGCAGCGTGTGAAACGCAAAAGATTGGCACTAATAAACTGCTGAAGTTAATTACCCTTTTGGCGCAGGTAATTGTACTTTTAAATGCTTAATACTTTTTGGTAGACAAATTTGGCAAATATGTATGTCATTCGATGCGCACACACCCCTGTACGCTATGTAAGTCAATTTAAGTGCGCAAAATGCACTGAAGATTTGACACGTTTGATGCCGCAATTGCTAGCAGCTCCTTGTATGCCGGTGGAAAATTTCCAGCTGTTTACCAACTGAAAGTGGTCCTCAGCTGTATATTTGGCTATAAATTTGTAGAATATGAATGCTTAGAATAGAAAATTCAGCACAAATCTATAAAAAATTTGTAAATATTACAATTAATTAATTAGTCTTCAAATGCACATTTTTTTGATAAACGCCTCACCGTCCGTTTCAAATGCGTCTCACTCAACAGCTCCACACTGAATGAGCACTTTCGCTGGCCCCACGTGTTGCTCAAGTCTGTCCCTCGGTGGGCTCCCCATTTGCGCATGGTTGCATTTATAGTGCCTACAAAGAAATTTAGTAAAATAAAAAAATTGAAAATTTCAAGAATTGTGTATATTTAGCTATCAAATATTTTATTAAAGGCGTTATTTAACAAAATAAGCATGCTGTTAAATATTAAATTACATTAAATTCTTTAGTAATTACCAAAATAGGATACACACAAATTATTTGTGTCCCTTTCGACATGATTCCCAAGGTGTTATTACAACCCTGGGTATCAAAACTACTAGAGGTCACTGAACATACTGCGCCGTCAACAAGCTGTCAAAATCATTTTAACTCAATTTGACAGCCGAACAGCTGTAATTAAGCAATTCGCCATTCATTTCATTTGTCGTGCAATAAATGCATTTAATCTGTTAATAAGAGGTTGAAAAAATATAGTATAATTGAATTTCGTTGCTGCTATTGCTGACTGCTCCAGAATAATAAACTAATTTTTGAATTAAGCTTATGTGAGCTCATCTAATAAACCTTCGACCCGCGAGAAATTACATTTATTTTGCATAAAAATGAGTTTACCTCCAGCATTGCTGCAGCGCTTGGCACAGCGCGGTCTTGTACAAAAATCAAAAAGGAAGGAAGCAGGTTAATAATTATTACATGCGTTTTTCAACCATTAGTCCACTCCTATCCCTTGCATCTCTCCCCAGATCCACCACCGGTTTCATCAGTCGAAAATGAAGAAGTCATTGCTGAAGATTACGATGAAATGGAAACAGAAGATCCACGTGCTACTGTTCACGAAGAATATCAATATCCACCACTTTACGATACCGAAACGAGCAGTAAACGCGTTGAAGAAAATTTCTGGATAGGACGCATGAAAGAGCGCATGGGTGAAGCGAGCTCAACCACAGGCCATCGTGGTTGCCCAAATAAGTACAACATTTGGCACAAATGCACGCTGTTTTGTGTTAATCGCTGGGGTGATGGCAAATCTGAACCAAGTCGCGAGTATATGCGTCGCTACAAACGATTGCGCCGCAAATATCCATTGCCCAAAGGTTGGGCTGATCGTTATGATCCCGGTTGTGGTTGTTACTACTTTTACAGTGTGACCGAAAACTTAGTTTCATGGCTACCACCTACGCATCCGAAATCTCAGGTCACAAAGAGCGCTGCCGTTTTTCGTCGACAATTGGAGGAAGCAGCTGGCGGTGAAGGTGGCGGAGGTAGTGATGGTGAACAGCAGCCCGATGAAAGCGATGATGCACAAGAAACCGAATTAGCGCGACATCAACGCGAAATAGATGAAATAATAAACTCATCAATGCGGGCACGTTCGCCGGCGGTGCCGAAGCAAGATTTCCCTAGTTTACAGGAGAGTACGGCGACAGCAAGCGCAGCAACACAACCACAACGAAAACAAAAATCGCGTGATTTGGATCGCACGCTATCTAAGCAACGGCGTGACCGTGACAAGGAACGAGAGCATAGCAGCAGTCGCAGGCACCGAGGACGTAGCGATGCTGAGCCAGCAGATCCCATGGATCCCAGTTCGTACTCTGATATACCGCGCGGCAAGTGGTCTGATGGACTGCCCGCCGGTGGCAGTGAAGAACAAAAGAAGACAAAAAGCGCAAGCAGCGGAAAAAAAGATACGGCAAGGGAGCGTGAAAAGCATGCGGATGCACGGCGTGACAGCGACGATTAAACAGATGTGTATATTAGTTGCGTTCCAGATGCTTCACGATATTCACGAAGTTCACGATTTGCAGGAACAGCTGTTTTCTCCATTAATAAACCTTATGGGAGATGGTCACCTGGAATGACTTCCTGTAAAAACCTGCAAATCGTGAAGCATCTGGAACGCAACTATTAAATGGAAATAAATGATGTATGCGTATAGATGTACATACAAAGTGGGTATAGTTAATTTCTATAAAGGCGTGTAGGTATATTGCAATCAGCCGGCCGTCGAGCACTTTATTGTGTGATACCATTTAGGCACAACCCCCAATTGTAAGCTAATCGCATAAGCGATAACAGCAATATACACCTTTGTAACAACAAATTCTGTACAAAAAAAAAGAAATACAAATAGACAGCATTAGTGCAAACAGGAGGCGTCGTCGTCGTATCGTGCAGCCTCTACGAAATTACAACTTTGCTTTAGGGTTCTTTCGCTCCTCACATGCCCAACCCTGCCCATTTACAGGCAGCAGCTCTACAATTGCTGCTTCATCTGTGCTCTCGCTCTCGCGAATCTCCTGCCTGCGTTGGCGGGGGTCTGCGTAATTTTCTGCGCTCCTATTACATTTGATGAATTTGAGGCGTATCTAGGGCGTGGTGGATGCCGACCTTGGGTGTGTACGTACGTCGTCGGCTTGGCCGTTCCGCTATTTTCGTTTCAACCAACCTTCAATGGCCGGCCCCGGCAGGGAGGCTAACAACAAACAGCAAGCGATTGATGGTAAAGTAGATGGCCTGAGTATTTAATTGACGAGTCCATGATTGTTTACATTTGTATGTACATACATACATACACTCTTCATAAAAGCTGCCTGCAATGCTGGGGTGGACAAAGCGGCATGAACAAATTAAATTGGTTGGATGGGTGGTGAGCAAGCAAGGCGGGGAAAGAATGCTCACAGCAAACAGCAGTAAAATTTTCAAAGAAAACGACCGCCTGCCATTTGCGTAATATGTTTGTATGTGGAAGCGTTTGTAGCTGTTTTTTGTTGAGTGGCTGCTGATAGTAGTGCTTGTTGGTGGTGGAATTGTGCTTGGCCAGCCAGTCAGCTGTTACGACATGTACTTGGGCAAATTTGCTACTTTGCATTCTACTCTTGTTTATTTCTTGCTTATTTTTATTGTTGTTGATGCTTTGCTCTTTCACAGGTGGCTGTGGACACGTGTTGGTTTTATTTGTTTTTGTTTTCACCTACCTACCTGTTATGCAGCAGCTTAGCCTTGTTTTTGTTGCTTTTGTTATATCTACGCATCAATGAGGCGAGTCCATTAAATTGTGTGCACTCTTGTGGAGGAGGTGTCGTCGTCACTTTGACGATAACGCATAAACGGCGTATAAGATTTTAATTAGTCACAAGTTTAACAATTTCTATCTCTTTCTATCCTGGGAAGAACGAAAGTTCCTGGTAGGAAAGTAGTAGCTTCAGTAGTTGTAGGCAAAACGACTTGCAGCCTCAATAATCTGGAACGAGCGTGTCTTGACTGGGATAAAAGCTAGGGAAAATGGCGCTCACATACATATGTACATATATATTTGCTAAGTTCTTTGTCGAATTTCCGTCCCAAATTGTATTATGCGTCTTCACGTTGTTAACAAACATTCGGAGACTTCAAGTAGGAGTAGGCAGACGATTTCACAAATAACGGACTATCTGTCTATCCGCGAAGTCCTTTGCTATAATCGGAGGAAATCGAGAATTCGGATATAAGCATTAGAAAAAGTAGCTACATACATACATAATCGATATACCTCTCCACACTCGTTTTCTTATATCAATTGTTTTCAAGTCCAAGGTGTTTGTGTATATCATAATTTTCCAAGAAAATATAGCTTGGAGCGGCTTCAATCCTTTGAAAGTTATGAAATTTGCTTCACTAGTTTCAACTACCCTACAGGGATTATATTTACCTGTTATTAGTGTCCGGACGAATATTGAGTTTCGGTTAACGAGTAATACGAAAAATATTAAGGGTTTAATATCATGGAAAATCCAATATTTGGCCATATATTTTGTATTTATGGCTTAAGTTTGAATCAGGTCTTACTAAACTCTGCATATCAAAACTCTGGAAATATTGGACCTTATGAATAAAAACTAAGCAATTACCGGTTTTTTTAAGTTCATACCTTTAACTCGATTTAATCAAATAAATTTAAGTAAAAGGTCTGAAATTTTAAGAAAATGCAATCGCTTAAGTTTTATTCACAAGGCACATTAAAAGAAGTGACTTCAATTCTCATACACAAATTTAAGATAACCGTTAATTTCTTCGTGATTCAATGACCACGTCTAAACCAAATTAGTATGGGACCAGCTCTGAGTTACCACTTTTCCGTTAAAAAAATAATTGTAGAAATGGTTAACGTGGTCCAAAATTATGCAGTAACATGCATAAAAAAAATATTCCGATGAATTCATAACCTCCTTCTTTTTTTGAAGTCGGTTAAAAAGTAGACCTACGGAATAAAAGCGGTCCCTCACAGATACTATGTAGTGGATCGTTGACATCGAGCTGCTTTCCAACGCACACCCTTTGCAACGATTGTTCCGTTTGGGACTCTGAAGAAGAGTAAATTGGTATTACCTCACCGCCTTCGTCCAGGATGCGATTCTGGTTATTGGCACTGGAGACTTTAGTGATGGTTGGGATCTTTAAAGTCCATGCCTCTACGAGTAAGTTTCCACAGTAGCGGGTACCACCTGAAGTATTTGCATCCACGCGTTGCGTCATCGCCATAGGGGTTGGAGTTTTCTTCCTAATTGCCAAGCTTGGTGGGTGGAGCGTACATGTCGCGAGACACGGCATTTCCATTCGGTATACCCACAGCAAGGGATTTTAGTCGGTTTTTACGAAACACATGCCTTGCTTCGGGTAAATTCTCTCTCTTTTCTTTGCGAAAAGGACGAGACATTGGCTTAGAAGAAATTAATCATCGATCATAGGTATATCGTCACCTGAGTGGAAGCTCGACCTATCTCGGCAGCCAGTTCGAAAACGCTTTATCTCAGAAAACTTTTCAAGAACGCCGCATTTCAGAATTTTATTGAAAATACCCCTTCTAAGAATTTGGTTGAAGAATGCCCTCAGCTGAAATCACATTGAAAATGTGCTGAGATAGGTCGTTTTTGAAACGGCAGCTGAGATAGTGCGTTTTTCAGTCAAGTCTCGAGTTTCAGTTAGTCTCGAGACCAGGGATCGAAGATAATAGTTATTTTCGAAAATTCAATTCAAAAAGTCAGCCGAAAAGGAATATTAATCCTTTATCATTTTA